CCAAGAAAATCCTCTGTGGCACAGCGTTCCTTACGCTGCTATAAACCTTCATGAGTTAAAGTTTTAAGAAAAACCTTCCTTTTTGGATGACTTTTGAAGGCCCATGTCATACATCTTCATGTGAGAATCCTTTTTGATCAGCCACTGTTGTGAGGAGGGTCAACATGTTTCATTGCTAATAAAAGTTACACGATCAAAGCTAACGAATGATTCATTTACAGAAAAATAATAAATTAGAGCAGATTTAAAATATGAGGGAAAGAGGTGGAACAACAGCTCTGGAGCTGGAACTGTGCAAACCCCAGAACCTACTTTGTCTCAGCAGAAACCCATATCCCATTAGGCTCCCTGGGGATGCAGTGCTCAGTCTTTACCTTTGCAATCTTTCGTCTCTTTTTCATAGTAAGTCCCTGCTGGGCACTCGTTCAAACATTGCCCATCATAGAGAACCAAGGATGAGTCAGCACAGAGGTCACAGTCATCCGCCGAGGGGCCACTGCACTCCAGACAGTCTTCGTGGCAGGGAACGCACTGGCGCTCGTCTGCGTAGAAGTGTTGGGGACAGGACTGATGGCACATATCCTTGTGTAGGAAGAACTCAGGCATGCAGTCTGGGGGGAGGGGCAGACAGCAAGTTACCCCCAGGAGGACAGGAGAAAGGAATTCATTTCTTCCATAGTGGCTAGCCCACCCCCATCACTTTGGTTCACTTGACCTGAGTGTACACTTGCCCGATCCCCACCCCACCAGGACACATCTCGATGTCTCACAAGCTCTGCCTTGGGATTGGAGACCACATATGGAGGCCAAGTTAGATGGTGCTGGGTTTATATCCTGAGATGATCTGCCTCCTGGAAATGCAAAAAATTATAGTGCAGTGGCTGATGAGTGATAGCTAAGATGCTGGAGGTATTGTTCTGAAAACCTGGAAAGCATTACCAGATTTTTCAAGCTGTACTGAGCACCTGAGGCTCTATTTAATATTGAAAGCCATTTAGGAATTCTTGGGTTAGTTAATTTTTCATTTGCTGATAGGATAGACTGATGAAAATATACACGGTTAATTGGTATGAAGGACGCTTTGTGGGTTTGTGTTTATTCTCTTCTTTTGGAGGGAATTCTGGAAAACACTTTAGGTTATCCCAAGAGAATCCTTTGAATAGGACAGCACCAGTTAAATGAGTCTGTTTTATTCTGCAGAGGAAATAAGCCTTTCTTGGGAGATAATTCCAGAGAAAAAACTCCTGGCCAGAGTGCTATTCTTAGTCTTATAGTTGCTGGTAGCTTGGTACAGTGCTTGGCACACCCTAAATGCTCAGTACACACAAATGGAAGAAAACATGTAAAAGGGGCTCTTGTCTGTCTTAACACTCAGAATCCATGATGGACAGGGTTTATCTCACCCTCACTTTCCTCAGTGACATGCACAGAGGTATATAAATTTCAGTAAAGGTAGGGACACTGGTTCCCTTAGTCCTGCTTGGAAACCCCACCCTCAGATATTTGGCCCCCAGCTGGGTGGCTTGGCAGAGCCACACTCTCCCCTAAGATGTTCCCAGGTACCTTTGCATGTTTTCTCATGGATGCATTCCTGACACATCTCTGGGCAATGCTTGCACACCCCCTCCACGGCCACGTGCCTCTCAGAGCAGGCTCTCTGGCACACTCCCTGGTCCAGGACAAGGCCTCCTTCACAAGAGTGGCAGTTGGTGGCATTTCCTTCACATGTTCTGCAAGGGGAGCTACAGTGTGCACAGATGCCATCACCTGCATAGAAGCCCCTGTAGGGAGAAGAGAGACAGGCTGGAGAAGCCTTCCAAGTAGGGAAATGATTCCCACCTGGTGGCAAAGGAGTTAGGACTGAAAACGGGAGGACTGCTACTGTTGTGGACCACCATGAATCTATCAGACTTCCTGAGGAAGTGTCAAAAATCCAGTCTGGAAAAATAAAATGAAAAGGATAGATATCATCCTTGTGATTTTGGTTTATTTGAAAATAACTTGTTAATTTATGTATAGGTCAGTCATCTTCTGACTTCCCTATTTTATCTCCTAATTTTTATTTCTTTTCTTTTTTTTGTTAAAGCCTTATGTTAGAGTAGAAAATGCTTTTTATTCAATTTAATATGTTGAAAAATGTTGAATATGTTGAAATATGTTGAAAAATATGTTGAAAAATTTAATATGTTTAATATAATGAAAAATTTAAATTTAACAAATTCAAAACATTATTTTTAAAAGGCTCAAAAGGTTTAATTCCCTATAAAAATGGAACCACTTTTGCTGTTGGATATTCTCAGCCAACCTCTGATGGCTTTTTCAAACACACACATATAACATTTGCACACAGCATCAAACATATTTGGAGCACTGCTGTTGGAGGACATGTTTGTATGTTTCACTTCTTCCNGCACCTCTCACAGCGTCCTGTGGAGTTTTCTGCATAATACCTGAAACCGAGGAGGGAAGCACAGGCTGAATTCTAAGCTTTGCTCCTAAGTGGAGTGTGGTGGAAGGATCATGGTTACTCAGACAGTATTCATTTACAAGCTGGGTTACTTTAGACTCTTTACTCATTAGATTCACTACTAATTATATTAACAAACCTAATGATTCTCAGTTTTCTTACCAGTTTTCTTACAATCTCTTTCCTACTACTTGTGAGGATTAAATTAGATAACACATATGAGAGGAACTAGTACTTATCACACGTAGTAGGGCCACATGAACTGGTTACTACCTTTGACTTCTGTGTACCCATGTGCATCTCCACTTAAAAATTCAAGCTTCAAGTTGTATTGAATGGGATCAAGGAATGTATTGGGTCGTTGGGAAAGTCATGACGCATTTTTGCAATGAAAAACATAGAAAAATACGTCATGACTTTCCCAACGACCCAATAAGACATGTTAAATGTACCTCAGAGTTCTTCTAATTTCTCAATTTAAAAAACATCTTGAAATAGAAGGCGACATGAGTGCTATTCACGTCTTCATAATAATAGATGTAACCTCTATTGAAAAGATTTTCGGGGGCTAAATATAACTTAATTAAGTTTCTACTATATTCCTGATAGTACACTAGGGACTTCATCAACTTAATGTTTCACCTTATGGAACCTAAAAAATGAGACACTAGAGTGTGGCAGTTAGGAACTTGCCCTTTGGCACAAGACTACATGGGGTCAAAGCCCAGCCATCTCACTTATGAGCTGTGCAACCTTGGGCAAGTCACACGACATGTCTGTGTCTCAGGCCTGTAATATGGGGGTTACTGTAAGTACCTAAAATTAAAGAAGTTATTACTGAGAAACTTATTAAAATAGTACCTGACATATTATTAAGTAATTAATGTACATTAGTGATAATTATGAATTTTATGATTAATCCTCATAGCAAACCTTGTGATTTACATATTATGATTTCTACTTTACACATGTAAAAATTGAGCCTCAGGGAACTGAGACAACTTACTTAAGGGCAAACAGCTAGTAAAGTGGGGCAATGTGATTTGAATTTATCTGTTAAGTACCACTGTAACAGCAGTGCACTATTTGAAGGTAAATTCAAATTTTTTAAGTAAGATAGAAGAGAGAGGGCCGGCCGAGTGGCGCGTTAGTTAAGAACTGGCTTGGGACGCCAGAGGGCCCCGGTTCGGATCCCACATATGAGNTAATTTTAGATCACACCTTGTAGATCTGCCCAGTAATTTATCCTCTTGTCTTCTCTTTGCATTTACAAAATTTATTTGTGAATACTTTATTTCACTGTTATTTTTGTTTAAGAAGACAGATGTTTCTTTTTAGGAGAAATGGCCACCTATATTAAATTGTTAAATTCAAAGCACTTTATGTTGAAGTCTTTTGGCTCAGATAAATATATGGAATGTGAAAGCTGTGTGGTTCTGGAGCTTTGCCTATAATTTAGACACCCACAGTGACAGTGCTTAAAGGAAGACCGTTTTTCTTCTACCAGAGCTTCAAATCTGTTCATATTTGGTGACTATGAACACAGCTTAGGTTTTACATTGTCTTTTAAACAATCACTATAATGATGTATCTTACTACTGGAACTTTTGTCTTTCATGAGTATATACTACATTTGAACAAGCGGTGGCCACTAGTGCTGACTTATAAGTAATTCTGAATACCTCGTTGCTATTTTATTGCAGGTTATGTTCCTGTTATAAATTTTGTTGCTGTTTTAGGATGGATCACACCCAAAAGGGCAATTTCTCAGAAATAGCAACAACTTGAAAATATTATGCTGTATAAAAGAAGCCAGTCACAAAAGATCCTATTTTTTAGCATTCTCTTTATATGAAATGTTTAAGAATAGGCACATCAATAAGGACAAAAAGTAAATTAGTGGTTGCTTAGGGCTGGGGGAAATTGGGAGTAACTGCTAAAAGGGTACAGGGGTTTGTTTTTTTTTGTTTTGGTGGGGGGTGATGGAAATATTTTAAAATCAATTGTGGTGATGATCACACAACTGTATGAATATACTAAAAAATATTGAATTGTACATTTTATATAGCTGAATTGTGTGGTATGTGAATTATATGTCAATAAAGCTGTTATTTAAAAAAGAAGAAATCTCAGTTGGATGAGAAAGTGGCTTTGTGCAATGACGTAACAAATGGATTTCAGTGCTAGAGAGATTTGGGTCGAAATCTTTACCATACCGTGTATTAGTTGTGTGATATTGAGCATGCTACCTCTTTCCTCATCTGTCAAGTGGGGAAAATAGTGGTATCTGCATATGAGGATTCATGTGAGGATTAATGGATTGTACATTTGAAGCACTTAGCATAGTGCCTAGATATCACAGACACTCAACCAGCAGCTGTTTCTCAATTGTTTCTTTTCCCTTGGAATTTCTTAGCCCTTTACGATTTTGGTTCTGAGAAGTATGATGGTGATTGATGTAAACCTCCCCTACTGGATTGTTGGCCTTTTGCAGGCTCAGACCTCCTTCAGTTGATCATACTGTAGCTTCCAATATCAGTTCTTACACCCAGTACGTGCTGAATATGTATCTGTAGAATTGAATTGAATATGTGAAGGGAAGTCTGAGGACGTTTTCTTTCCTCTTAACATGAGATGACCTAGGAGAAACATGCCCTTTTCTGTTTCCGGTTGTTGCAGCGTGGGGTGGTGATATGTGGAGATGGGGCAGATAATGTGAGTCAGGGGAGGAAAGGCTAAAGAAGATACAAGAGCAAAATGGAAAGATGGTGGGTTTTTAAGGAGGTGTTGGCCACTGAAGGAACCAATACTGGATTTCTAAAGGCTTTGTTAGGTATGATAATAAGCCCTGTATTGTCTCAGTCATTCTACTTGGCATTTTTGTTGCTTGTCACTGGAAAGTTGCGTGATATACTTTCCCACTTGATATCACCACTTCCCTTTCAGGTAAATCCTGGAGGTGGGACTACTGATGGGAAGAGTGAAGGAATTCTAAACCAGGGGGCTGAGGAAGCCATTAGAAACCCATAAACAATTAACCGGTATTTATTTATTATCTATGATTCCTACCTCATCTACTTTCAACAGTTAGAAGCGGTTCATGTGTTCCACAGCCTATCACAGCCTTACTTTTGTGATGGAAAAAAGACAACTACTTGATCATAAATACAAGGTAGAAAAAGAACAATGTTTTCACAGAAGTAAAAATATACTCATATAATCATCGCAAGAGAGAAGCATGCATCTGGTGTTGTGTAAGTTTTGGCTGCTGTGACCCACAGTGATATTAGACAGTCAAGAAGGGGTAGGTACGTACGTAGGCGCTGGAACCAGGGAGGGGAAGAGTGCTTTGGTGAATGGGAAGGAATTGTCTCCAAAGTACTGCAGGAGAATGAACAGGAGCCGGAAGCGAAAGGAAGAGGGAAACTTACTCAGGGCACTTGGTGTAGCACCTGCCTTCATGGAGGAAGAGAGGGTATTCCAGCTGAGTTCGGCACTTTTTGCAAAGATTGGCTCCTGAGCAAGAAGCACAGTCCTCTGTACAGTTCTCACAGCTGCCACTCCTCACTGAGGGCCACATGCCTTGGGGACAGGTAGAGACGCAGGTCTGAGCCAGCAAATATGAGTCTAGAAACCCAAGGAAGAAGGCAGGTCAGGCAGTCATCACATGTCTGCTAAAACAGCACACACATCCATACAGAGAACTGACACTTGCAACAGCTTTTTTAACTGCTCCAAAGACCCAAGTATCTGGAAGACTTATTTCAGGCTTACCAAAATGTATCAGTGATGTTGCATCTTGCAGGATGAGTTAAATCTCTAGAAAGGAAATTGACAACAGGAGACTTTTGCCCCGTTTTTTTTTTGTGTGTGTGTTTTTTTTCTGCTTTCCTACTGATATTGGTGCGGGTCACTTTGGGGCTTCCCTTTGCCCATCTGATCAGCCACTTAACACTGTCGCTTGTCTTCCTGGTGTAAGGCAGTTATACAGGCACAGCTTGATGGGATCTAGTCTGTTTCCCAAAGCCTATCTTGTTAGGACACTAACATAGTAGCAACTCTTCCACCCAACGAATGATCCGTCTATTTATTTTTAATTGAAAAAAATCAGGTAATGTCATTATTAAAGAAAACAATTTTAAAATCATACTCAACTGCAAAATTCCAAGAAAATTCCTTCCATATTTGTGTGGAAGCTTTTATATTTTGAAGGTGTAGGATCATGATACACCTATCATTTTAAATTCTGTTGTTTTTGCATCCCATCTCACTGTTAACATTGCTCATTCCAACATAATGATCACTTTAATGGGAGCATAACATTCTTAATTCTTAATGTTAATGCACCATGTTAATAAAATAATTCCCTAATTCAGGGAAGTTGTTATTTCTGATGTTTTGTTTTTATAGACAATGAAGCAATTAATTTAAATTGTTCTGTTGTTGCTCTTTTTTTTTCTCCCCTAAATTCAGTACCAGAAATGAAGAAAGAAATAATAGGTAGACTATTTATCCCCACTTAGATTCTGTAAGTTCTCTTGTTTTGGCTAACGCACTTGAAAAGAGCAGTGGAACCTCTAGAAGCGTCAAGTACCCAGAAACCCTAACAAACTCTGTAGCCAAAACCATTGCTAACGTCATCATGCTTTTGGATAGGAAGCATTTCTTTTTTTGCTTTGGTCCCTTGAAAGCCAGTTTTTATTCCAGGTCAGTGTTTGGGTCCCTGCATTTCTCCAGAGTAGCCATTGTGATAGGAACATGTGCTGGGACTAGATCGTGTCCTGCAAACCCCTTACCTAAAGATGATAATATGTATGAGTTACAATGAATTGGCTTGGCCACTGCCACCTCCTGTCACACCCCACACTAACCTTTTGGACATGAAGTACACAGGGTTGCAGATCCATTGCAAGTTTTACAAGAAGAATGACAAAGCTGGTATTTTCTCAAAATGTCTGTGTAGGGAAAGATACAAGAAGTTAGATTCCTTTGCGCAGGCTCATAGCAGTACAGTATTGGAGACGATCTCATGGGCAATCTTGTCTCCCTTCCTGCCCCAAATAGAATCCCTTCAATTTTACATTTGCTAGATGTGTGGACACCCACCCATTGCCTATGATGTGGATTTCATTCATTTATTTTCTTCTCTTACTCATTCCTTGACAATTGATTATCAAGACTTTCTCTGCAAAATTCCAGGGACAAGATAGCCTTAAACACTAAGGGGATATTTGAACGAACAAATGTTACTTCTTTTATATATTAAAAATATGTGGAGTGAGGGTGTGGTTGTGTGTGTGCATGCATGAAAGAATTTTCAAGTCAAAGGTAAGCATTTATTGCCCCACTGCTCTTTACTCCAAGATGGTAACTGAGACATTATTGTGTCTTTCATGGAGAAACTTTTTTTTTCTTTTCTTTTCTTTTTGTTCTTTGGAAATAGATTTCATAATTGGTCAATGTTTGGGTCTCTGTATTCCTCAGAGTAGCCATGGTGGAATGCAACCTAAATTTATCTCATCTTAAATTTGTCCCAAATCATTGTTAAACATCACCAAAATGGAGCTTTCTGGTTGCTCAGGTGATATGCAGGCCTTCCCAGGTTAATACAGCATTAACCTGGGAAACATTAGAGCCGTTTCCCCTGCCTCTTTCCCTCTAAGAACACTTGATGGGCAGGCTTTTCCAGGAAGTCAGCAACTCCACGGGAAAGTCTCAGAGACATACACAACAGCCTCCAAGACATCACTCAATCAATGTACATCAAGATCGTGACTCAATTTCAGTAATTGCTGGGAATGAGCAGACTGACACGGGGGAAAACTGGAAAAAGAAGCTCTAGATCAGAATGTGTGATATGAATGACCCTGACCTTCAGACAGTTGTTATTGTTGGCACCTTACCATTCTCCCTTCCTCCCTCCCTCCTTCTTTCCTTCTTCCTTCCCTCTCTCTGTTGCCTTACAATTCCTTTCTCCTCTTTCCGAGAGTCAGTCTGGTAGAGTTGGCTCTCTAGTCACACCTGCCTTCAGATCCCAGCTGTGCTGCTTATGGGTAGGGTAACCATGGATACGGTAATTAAATCTCAGAGTCCTACTTTTCCATGTCTCTAAAATGAGAGAAAATGATTCTTCCCTTTCAGGACTGTTGTGAAGACTAAATGAGGTAACTTGCGTGCAGCATGCACACAACAGCTCAGTAAATGGCATTTTGAAACGTCTGCTTCCTTTCTCCTCTCTCCCGATTCCTTCATTTGTTACCAAGCTACTGCATTTCTGAGGCTTTTGTTTTATTTCCCTCTCTCTTCCCTCCGTTCTATACCTGGAGTGGCACCGGGAGACTTGGCTTGGTTTCTGTGATGGCACTCATGGTTAATAAGCTGGTGAGCCTTGTTACAGAAAAAAACTAGATTCAAAGGTACGTAGGTAGGCATGGATGTAGACACAGAGATATAAATGATTGTCCATGCTGTCATGCTGAGTGGCAGTCTTTTTCCGAGTTTGGAGAGAAAACTTTGCCCTGGTTTTCCAGTAGACTGACTGACTGACTGATGTACTTCTCCCTGGGGGGAATCTGTTAAGAGCTCACTTAGCCCTGGGCAGTGCAATGCTAGTCGCAGGATTTTCACAAAAGTGGTCTGTCTGACTCTCAACATGACTCTTTTTCCCGAAGGTCTTTTTTAAACCTGACAATATCGGTTAATCCCCAAAAGAGGGCAACAGAGAGATGAGCAACATTTCTGTTGCTAACATCAGTTCTCACTAATCAATAGGGAAATTTAAATCAAAACCTCCATGTGATATCACCTCACGCCTATTAGAATGGCTGTCATCCAAAAGACAAGAGACGAGGGCCGGCTGAGTGGCTCAGTTGGTTAAGAGCTCGCTCAAGAGTTTGAGCTCTGAGCAACAGCGGTTCGAGTCAGCCCGAGCTGAGCAGCCGTGAGCTGCCAACAGGTGGCGGGATGGCTCAGCTAAAAAAAAAAAAAAAAAAAAAAAAAAAAAAAAAAAAAAAAAAAGAGACTCAAAAAAAACAAACAAAAGACAAGAGACAGCAAGTGCTGGTGAGGATGTGGAGAAAAGGGAACCTGCATGCACTGTTGGTGGGAATGTAAATTTGTGCAGCCACTATAGAAAACATATGAAGTTTCCTCAAAAAATTAAAAATTCTACTACCATATAACCCAGTAATCCCACTTCTGGGTATATAACTGAAAGAAATGAAATCACTATCTAAAAGAGATATCTGCACACAGTGTTCATTGCAGCATTATTTACAATAGCCAAGACATGGGGACAACCTAGGTGTTCACTGATAGATGAACAGATAAAAAAGATGTGGCATATATTGGCAATGGAATATTATTCAGCCATAAAAAGAAGGAAGTCCTGTCACTTGCAACAAAATGCGTGAACCTTGAGGACATTATGCTAAGAGAAATACAGAGAAAGACTAATACTGTATGATCTCACTTATCTGTGAAATCTAAAAAAAAAACCACCAAACTCATAGAAGCAGTTGCCAGGGCTCCTGGTGGAGTAGAGGGAATGGATGAAGGTGGTCAAAGGGTACAAACTTCCAATTATAAGAGGAATAACTTCTGGGGATGTAATGTATAGCATGGTGACTATAGTTAACAATATTATATTGAATAATTGAAAGTTGCTAAGAGAGTAGGTCTTAAAAGTTCTTACCACAAAAAAAGGTAACTATGAAGGTGATGGATGTGTTAACTAACCTTTACTGTAGTGATCATTTTGTAGTGTATACATGTATCAAATCATCATATTATACACGTTTAACCTATTCAATGTCATATGTCAAGTATATCTCAATGAAGCTGAGAAAAAAAAAAGAAAAACTTAATGGCTGAGAGGAGTTATTTAAAAAATAATCACAGAATAATATTCATCAGACATTGAGCACCTTGAAAATCTTTAATATATGTCCAGGCCATGGGTTGATTTTCTTTTGGTTTTATTATTTTTATGCTAAAATGTTGTAGTCACAAAGATATGAGTTTTCATTAATTTTTTCATATTTGTACAAAATATAATGTATATATCTACATATACACATGTATTTATAATTACATATATCTCACATTTTGGCAGTTTGATATTTTACTGCGATACACTCGGTGTAAAATTTTGCAATGCCCTAGTATCTCCACTAGAGGGTGCTCTGCACACACAGTTAACAGCAATTAAGCATGGGCAATGGATAGTCATCCCAGCCGGGGCTCTTTATTATACAAGATTATTAATGACTTAGTCTCAACAAGTAAATGTTAACTTTGATCACAGATTTTTTTTTCTACTCCAGAAATTCTTTACTGGACAGGATTTCAAAAACAAAAATCACCTTGACCAAGAAAATGTAGTGTCTGTCCTTCAAAAATAATTATAGCTCCATCTTATAAAACAGGGGTTCTTTTTTTTAGTAAGTAAATAATATTCACATGGTTCAGATGTAGGAAAGGCATACACTGTGAAGTCTCCCTCCTAATCTCTCCTTCACCCTTTTTATACAAACTGTATCTATTCACACTGTTTATCACATTGACTTTTTTTCTTTTGTAACTTAATATATTTTGAAGACCATTATTTATCAGTACATAAAGAACCTCCCCATTCTTGTTTATGGCTCCATAGTATTCCATGGCATAGATGTATCGTACTTCATTTTTCTAGTCTCCTATTGGTAATCATTTAGTTTTTTAGAATCTTTGCAATAATGCTGCAGTGACTAAGGAAGTAAAAGGTGCTTTCTTAGCCTTTTAAAGAGCTGCAAGGACAGAGGCTTTTCTTGATAACCTCCCTGTCCCAGGCCTAACCACATAGTATATCAGGAACATCTTTAAGAGTTCTAGAAGTTTCCACTGCTGAATTTCCTCCCAGTCTTTCCCCTTTGAGCACTGACTTATATTTTACACTGTGGTCCCCTCTTATCTGTTTTCTCTCTTATGACTTCTTCATCCCATTGATTCCTCATCACCCAGCTTCTTGGGTTGGTTTTACATAACACTCTCGTCATTTGTTGCAATTGTCTTCTCCTCCCTATTTCCCTGTTACCTCTTTTTATTTGAAACTTCCACCTTCGTCGCTCCTGCAGCACGCTCTTCACCAAAGATGGGCTTGAAGTGGGCACAGGCTCTTTTTTATTAGAAAAAATAAAGTGTTTTATTTTTTTAATGCAAAAAGGATAAAGAAGATAAAGTTTGCCTATAAGCTTACCACCCAGAAATGTCTGCTCTGCATATTTCGGCACATAGGTTTCCCATCTTTTTATTGAACGTGTGAATATAATTACATATGTGTATATATGTGTAATCATTTACACCTTTTGCATATATCATACCTACATTTTGCATTTAATATAAATCTTATAGGATTTTCTCTTGCCATTGAAATTCCTTGTAAACATTATTTTTAATAGTTTGTGTATTTATTTGCATGAACCATAATTCACTGGATTTCTTTTTTGTTGTTGTTATTATACATAAAGCTGCTATCAGCATCTGTGCAAGTATATATTCCTGGTTAAGTCAGGGCTCTCTGCCCGACTATCGGTCATCCCAACTGACCATTATTTGCTGCCTTCTTTCTGGGACTACTTTTCCCAGACTTGTATTCTCTCTAGGCCCCCAAAACTGCTTTCTCTCATGTGCTAGGGAAGGCTGCTTTGAAAGTGAATGCGAGTTTCATGTGTTAAAACTAGATCAGGTTAAAGGGTTAGGGAACAGATTAACTTTTATCATCATTATTATGTGCCTGGAGCTTTATAAGTGTCCTTTCATTTAATTTTCAAAATGCCCTAGTGTGAAGTAGTTTCATGCTCTCATTTTATAGATGAGGAAACTGAGGCTCAGAGATGATTAGTAACTTGTTTGAGGTCACGTAGCTAGTAAAGAACAGAGCTAGGATTTGATTCAGGTATGCATAACTGTAAAGGCTATGTCTGCTAGAGAGATGTTTTAGTAATTAATTTGGATTATAAAATCATTTGGTAGAGGCCAAAGCAGTGGTATACTGGTAAAATGGCTCTTTGGAAAACAAAACAAAAAACTTGATTTTTTTTTTCATGTTTGCCGATTTCCATGGTATAAATACTTCCAACATAGCTGATTTCAAGCTGCCAATGAATTTACAATCCCCTTCTAAAATTCCTGGATGTTAGCAATCAGTGAAAGTGGATACACTTGGCTTCTTTATACCACTAGGCTAAAGATTTAATTACTTACCCAGAGACGTATGTTTTCTGCACTCTGAGCTCTGATTGGTTAATTAAATAAAAATGATGTCCTCATTTCTAAGTGAGGCAATTGTACATATCTACAAAGTCCTTCGAAAAATCAGATTTTCATGGCATCTTTTAAAGTTCTCTAAAGTGCAGGTCTATTAGGCAACATATCTCCCACTCTTGAGATTTTTTTTCACGCATGAGTGGCTTTCAGTGTTTGTGACGGACTCTGGATTTCTAGCCTCTCTCAGAGCATAGGAGTTAAGATCAAAAGACAGTGTAGTGATAAATTATTAGGATGTAGTCAAAGATTGAAAGTTAATTCACCATGTCCGTGCTTTGTAAGTTAGACTACCTTCAGAATATGTAATTAGAGCCCACTACAAACATGGTTTTAATCAATGATGGGACTAGGTGGGCAGGGGAAATGTGCAGGAATTATTCCTAGGACTTTCCGGCGCTACCAGGAGGAAAACCACTTAAGAAAATCCAAATGATTTAACAGTAATGGAGTAAACTCTTGCCGTTGCCAACAACGGTTTCAGGAAACCAGCTGAAGCCATTATCTTCTTTCAAAGTCCGTGGCCTGCCACACCTGAACATTTCCACCAGTGGTGGCTCGGTATGATTGCTGAGTCACTGCTGAAGCCATTAGCAACGTACTTAATATCGATTCTGTGACTGCTGTATAGGGACACTGGACTAAGTAATCTTTTTTTTTTTTTAAATTACAATATATTAGTGACTGGGACAGGGGACCTGGGGATGATCTATATTTCTATGCAGTGACTTTTTGATGGTGGGAAGAACGAAGAGTTGAGCCTCCATCTTTGGAGATTCCTTAGTCGTGGCTGGAGTATTTGCCAGGTGTGGTCTGATGTGTAGGGAAATCTCCATCCTTGGGCTAGGATAGGAGGTATTTCCACTCTGTTGATAGATGATGAAGAATGATGGCCCTGTCATCATTGTCACTCTCATCGTGAATAGCTACCTTATTCAAAGAGGAGTTCAGAGAGCTCTAGTTGGATTTTTATTTCAAGGGTATTTTCCTAGTACATGCTGACACAGACAATGGGGGCAAACATAAGATGAAAACATGATCTTATTGTTTCCCCTGGGGAGTAGCGTGTGTGAAGGAATGGACTGAAGTTTGTCCCATCTTACCTTTCCTACCTCGATCTGCATCTGTGTTTAAAACACCATCACCACCACCTTGTAGGCATCACCTAGGCAGCTACATTCTCTCATAAACATTCTGTAATTGGTCTGGGCTCCCTCTAAGTTGACCCAGGGTGACTGCAATCTGCTTTCCATCATCTGAAAGGTGTGGCTAATTAGTACTTTTCTCTGGAACCCTCCGCTCTCTGTTACACCCTTGACCTTGTGTTTTTCTTTTTTTTTAAGGAAAAGGTCAGGAGAAAGATGTAGGCCTTGGCTCAGATACTCCCAGGACTTTATGGAGTGCATTTCCATTTACTGTCCACTTCAGTGGTGCCTAACCGATGCTGGGGAAGCTGAGTCTCACCTTGCTCAGTAAAGGAACAGCTTTTTCTCACTCTTAATAGTCTATATGTCTTATTTCCTAGATCAGGGGTTGGCAAACTGTGGCTCGCGAGCCACATGCGACTCTTTGCAGATGCACATGTGGCTCTGAAGTAAAATTGAAAATGAAAATAAAACTATCATAGTTTCATTTATAACATTTTTAAAGGATATTATTCTCTTAATAGTCTATATGTCTTATTTCCTAGATCAGGAGTTGGCAAACTGTGGCTCGCGAGCCACATGCGGCTCTTTGCAGATGCACATGTGGCTCTGAAGTAAAATTAAAAATGAAAATAAAACTATCATAGTTTCATTTATAACATTTTTAAAGGATATTATTCACATAATGGTGATTTCATTTGTTTTATGGCTCTCGAATAATTTTTAAATTGTTGTGAGGGGCAGGATTGGCTCTTCCATCTCAAAAGTTTGCCGACCCCTGTCCTAGATCATAGAAGTGGAAAAGTACAGCCATGTCATTCGCTTTCTTGCTTTTGTCCAGCCATCAGAGACATCCTCATCTGCTTCATGCATCCCTTATTAGTGCTAAATCCCCAAATGAACTAATTCCTCCGTCTCTTCACAAACATTACATTTTGATAGTAGAAAATGCAGAGGGGTGGGTGTGGTGCTTTAAACAAAGGGGAGCAATCAAGGCCTGGTTTCTGCTTGCAAACTGCGTAGTCCAGTTGAAAGGGACATGTAATCATTTGGGGGATCAAGTCTGCTTTGCTTCTTGGCTCCCTGGACTTTTTTCATCATCTGGATGCCAGATAAAATACAGATGTTCTGAGCTAGGAACACAGCACCAGACTATTTTCCCCTTGGCCTGCACTGCCTCTTAAATGCTTGAATGGCATACAAACTCGTTTTCAGCATTTTGGTTCAGCTATAATTCACGGGAAATATCCCAGTCTGGATTGAATGATTTTTCTTCCCAGCTCTGTCTCTGAAATCAGCCTGTGTTCTCTGTGGCCTTTGGCTGCTGGTTTTGCCATGGTCTCTGAGATGCTTTTCCTTTAAGTCACATATGCAGTGCTGTCGTAGTAGACAGCAGCCACGGACATCTCTCCTCTGAATTCCAGCAAGAGCCTTTTCTCCTGCTCCAGATCTCTCACTCTCACCAGAAGACCCGTCCCGAGCAGACCTCCCCTCTGCTGTTGCTTCTGCACTGAAATGACCTTTTTAACAAATCCTAGCCTTGAAATCAAACAGAGAGCATCTCTTGTTTTTGTGAGGGTCTCTGCATAGAATGTGAGTCAGATTTTTCCAGCAGGAAGAGGGTTTTCTTTTTTAACCACCTCTGACACATGGAGAGGCCACTGAAGTTTGCAATTACTCTGCAAGGAAGCCTGTGACTGCGGCTCTAGGCTGTAGACTCAGGTGGGAATGCATACACGCAGGCCTTTCCTGTTAGATTCCAGGCTCCCACACGCTTCCTCGCTCCTGCCCCTTCGCAGGAACCCCACTTTCCCATCTGCAACTGGAGAGGGCAACTTTTAGAAGGCAAGCTTGGATGATGGCAATTGCTAATAAGCCAGCCGGACAGATCAGTTGTTTTAGCTTAAGTTCCAATACTTTAGAGCAGTTCTTTTTTGCCTAACTGAAAAACCTACTCTACCAGCAGTTTTCCTTACCTTGGTAAAGAGATACATGACGAATGTGATAGAAGCTATTCTGAAATCTTCAAGAAAATGGTAGTCGGGCCATTTCTCTGGAGGTCTGCTCCGCCCCGGTAGAAACTCAAGCAACCAGACCAATCGTAAATTGCCCGTTGGGTTTTCCCTCCTGGCCAAATACCAGCTCCAGCCTCCTTCCCTCTCCTGCCCAGAGCATCAAAGAGACTTAAACTCGATTCTCATTCCAAGCGTTTTTTTCACTGTCCAGCCTTCATCTAGTGGCTATCCCAAATGCAAGGGTTAAAGAGGGAGGAAGGGAGGGAGGCGAGAAGGCAGCTAGACACCTGTGATCTCTTTTAGGAAGCACATACCATTCCAGAAGTTGCCTTCCATCTGGGTCTGGGTGGGACCCACACACGTCCCATGCAGCAGCTGCAGCCCTCCTCGGCAGCTGCTGCACTTGTCGTAGCCAAGGCCGGTGCAGGTTTCACAGGATCGGTGGCAGGGCTCACATTCACCCATCTCTGGGTCGCCGTAGAAGCCAGGGCCACATTCCCTCACGCAACTGCCGCCTACGTAAGAACACAGAGAGGAAACATGAAGACGGAACCCTGGCGGCTTAGCTCGGTGCTCTCTGCAGGGCCAACTTCTAAACGGGCCAAAGGGAGCCTCAGGGACATTTTTGTTTGAGTTTGTTTTTAAAGAAACCAAGATGGCGTTAGCTTATTTCAACCAAGAAATGTGTCTTAAAAAAAATCTAACCCTTTAAATCTTCTTTTAGGTGAGAATTTAAATTGGCCATCAGTTCAAAGAGTTGAGAGCATAAAGAACTTTACACTCTGGAAGCCTTGAAAAACTATAAATAAAATGAATCTCCATAGAGAACACCTGGAGGCCCTTGTGGGCTTTCTGCCCTGCTCTCTCTCCCATAAGCATCCAAGAGCACTGGACTATTAGTTCTTTAACTGGAAGACTCACAGTACATTTCTTTCCTAACCATCCATTACCGTCAGAGTCAATGAATTGACCAAAACGTAAGACAAAGGCTCTCGTTTAACTTTCACAGTGCAGGAATATATAACATGGGTTATGTCTCAAGGAAATATTCCGGGTTCTGAATATTCCAGGTGACTTGGATTCCAAAGCGTTTGCCTTCTTCCTCCCCCAGCCCCCACGGTCACTCTTGTTTCCATCAACTTGGAGATATTTGAGATTAATTAGTGAAATAGGAACTATGCTTCAGTAATCAAAGCAGAAGGAAGTAGTCCTGGCTAATGTTTATTTTCAAACCAAATTAAAATTCCTCCTTGGACAGGAGGCGCCAGCACACAGAGACCCCTGAAGCCAATCAAACTGCACTCCTATTTCTGGGTGGAGCCCTGGAGCCCTGTTTTCACTTTGTTCAAGGCCATTTTCAGGCTTACCCAAGAGAAAGAAGCCTTCCTCACACCAGTAGCACTCATTCCGGTCACAGTTGCCGCAGTTGGTATCGCACGCTTTGCATTCAAATTCTTCAATGTAGGTCTTCTCAGGACAGATTTTATAACAGCGGTGTTCAAACCTAGGGGAGAAGATAGAGTTTCTTCCATGAGCTATGTGGGTGTGTTTCTCTTAACCACCATCATTTAATCTCCTTAGGTATGTCTACACATCATTTTTAAAAGGTGGAGATACGTGGGTTTCAAGGGAAAAAACTTCCTCATGGTCTGTGTGTGCCCTCCTGACAAGTCATTAATCACCTCTCTTGGGACCTCCAAGGCCCCATTCTCAGGGCAGCGGGGAGGAGTCTGGGGAGAAAGAAAAGGGTGCTGATGTTTATGGAGTACTGATTATGTGTCAAGTATTAATGCATTAAAACCTCAGCACAATCCCCATACAGGTAGCTATTACTTATCTTTAATTTCTAAATAAGGGAACTGAGTCTCAAGGTGGAGTCCTCAAAGTCACATAAGTAGTTAAAGATAGAACTGGGATTTTAGCCAAGATCTGTTTGAACAGACAGTTTGTGTGCTTTTGCTACCTGGCACTAGCAAGGTCTGAAACAGCTGTGTTGAGTTCAAGTAGCTTACCAAAATGTCTGTAACCAGATTACTAATATCAACAGTGAAGTGCCTTAGCTTTTATCTCTGTGTGTTTTTATGTGTTACTGTCCATTATTCTTATTCTACAGTAAAATGTACTTCAGGCTCAACTGAAAATTAGAGTTTCATTTGAAGGGGAAGTGGAAGAAGTGAACCTTTGCCCTCTGATAAATTTTATACCATTAACAAGACATCAGAGGAAGGTTTTGCATTTCTTCCTTAACAACTTTTTATTGTACAGTGTTGTATTAGCTGTATTCAAGTCACTAAATATTCTGAAGGGTTATACATGTGTGAAATAGTAATATCAGGCATGTTCTTTTTAGTGAATAGTAGGTCCTCACTTAATGTGGTCAATTCTTCGACTTCAAGTGCAGTGGTGTATAACGAAACCAATTTTACCGTAGGCTAATTTGTATAAACAAGAGTTAAATTCCTACAGCATCTTAGTGTTATAATGAAATGACATTGAATGAAATGACATTATTTAAAGATCTGTTGTATTTTTTTCTCAAAGGGCTTTATGAAACATTCTTATTAGTGGGCAGCGGTGAGTTGGAGAGGCTGACAGGGCTGGGGGCTGGCTCCAAAGTTTAACAGAGGATGGTCTCAGGTGACAAAGGAAATAGGTGCAGGTCAAAGGGTATGTTCTGGAACCAAAATGAAGGAGGGTAGAGTTAGGCTGGAGGGATGCAAAGTCGTAAGAGGGATAAAGAGGAGAATTCCTCATCTACTTCTTCACAGTTACTATTTCTTTGAGTCTAAGTCCTCCTTCCTTGGTTCTCTGAGGAACATTTTGTGCCCCCAACCATGAGACATCACTAAGGAACACTTGCATTTCTGCTGTTTATCTCTGCTTGGGGTGTCTGTGGCAGGCCATATGCTGGGAAAATACCAACTATGAACATACTGACAAATTTGTGGTGGCTCATTTACTGTCATCTGGTCTACCTTCTAATAGTTGAGTCTACGGGCTTCTTCTTCAGTCCTCCTCCCTTGTTTAAAAGGAACAATAATTTAAGTCAGTAGGTCAGGAGTGCAGGGATGTAGAGACATGGTGAATGTAGAGAATAATAGTCTACTCTGGGAAAGGTGAATTAAAACTATAAGTTAAATAATGGTAAGGTTAACTGATTGTTTTGAATATGTTTCAGCTTGTTGGGTTTCCATTTCCCTCTCATCCACCTCATCTCTCTTAATGTCCTCCTACCCACTGCCACATTTCAAGCCTGTTAGAATCGAGCCCACCAAAGTTGAGTTGACCCAAATCTAGACCCTCTGCTAGCTTTTGGTGCAATGTGAGGGAACCCATAGCCTCTCTGAGCTTGTGTTTTCTCTTCTGGAGAATGATATCGATCCTGTGTCCCTGACGATGTTCATGGAAAAGTGAAGAGAAAAAAGGGATGTGAGAGTTTGTTAATCACAAAACACCCTAGTTCTTAGGATGACAGGGAGGACTTACATAGCCTATGCATAATATGGGCCTTCCCTTTCTTTTCATCTCCCTTCTTTACTTTTTTTTTTCTCCCAAGATAGGCACCAATGACCCTGGAAGAAAGACTGGAATAAGAAAGGGTGGTAATGTTGAGGCACACCATGTTAGATTTGTAGGTGTGTATTAGAGAACTTGGGGGTGGTGGTTGTCTGTGTTTCATTTAACACAGTGGTCTGTGTCTCTCATTCCCCAGGAGATGACTGAGAGCGAATGTTGCACCTGGCTTCATCCTAGACAGTCCAACTCTTGGTAAGGACAAGGTGTCCATGCAGACATATGGAAACAGCTTGCCTGGGGTCGGGTATTTTATTAAGGTCTGCCCAGAACCAGCAAGGTCTGAATCTTGGTAACCCATGGCAAGATTCCTAGACACCAGTGTCAGGTTGGGTGACTTCCAGGACCAAGAAAGAGAAGGCCTCCTTTTGAGGCAAGAAAACAGCTGGGCTGTTATTGCTGAATCCAAGAACTGTTCATTAAGAGGCTGACAGGACAGAGTTGCTTCAGGCTACAGGGCCTCTTTCCTTTAATCACTGATTTAGGATTAAGTCAGTAATGCTTTAACTGCAGAAAGGTTAGTGCCATGAAAAAGAAGGCCAGACTTACATGTAATACCCTGTAGTGCATGACGTGCAGGTTCCTGGATCATCTGGAAAAAAATTATAATAATGAAAAATAATAATCACCAAGAGTTCATTTGGAAAAATGGGCTTTGGAAAAATTTTGGCTTGAGACAAATAATCTTCTGGGATAGTTTTATGAAATGTACTATCCAGAAGTGGTATTTGAACAGATTGAACCATTTTTAATTAGTAACAAGATGTACACTATGATTTATCTTTATCAAAGCTAGTAAAATAAGAAGTCTCATAAGCAGTTGGCCCTAACTTTCAAGGAGGAATAGGCCCAAGCTACTGGGTTTTCAAATTACAGATCAGAAACCATTCACTTTGAGAAACTCCAGGCTTCTGCTAAGGTAAAGGCATCAACACACACACACACACACACACACACACACACACACACACACACACAGAAGGGGCTTCAGGCTTTCAACCCTGAATAGTGAGTGGGTTTTCCATGAATTACCCCAAATGCCTGCCAATGTGAGGGATTATTGGGAGGTTCCTTTGAAATCTGGATAATTTTTTTTTTCCCAATACAGTATCCACTTTGTGTTCTGTACTTCACAACCCTCTTAAAGAAACTGTCCTGTTCTCCTTAGGTATAGTGTGAGTCAATGTGTCTTTGTTGACTCAGAGAAGGACTCTTTCCTGCAGCTTTCAGGGGAGTTAATGAGAGAGAAAGGATTTTGAGAATCACTAACTCAGTCTATTTCCCTCCTTCCTAACTCTCCCTGAAAGACGTCAACTCCCAGATCCAATTTTTTAGGGAATTCTCTGACTTCTGGTCTGCAGTCCTTCTAAGTGAGAGCTAACCTCTAGCAAGTTCTTTCTATCTATTATATTTCAGTCCTGCTCTTTTCATTCTAATAGGAGATGGAAAACAACTGCTCCTTTTTAAAATTTTCCTCTTGGTATGTGAAGATTTTATGTCACCTTTAACTATATTTAAATAAAACAAAACAATGTCCTCTGAACTTGGTGCATAGTTTTCCTTTCTGATCTACTCTAGGTTCTATTTTGGTTTCACAAAGTCTGCCTCTTGGTGGTAGGCCCTTGCCTGAATCTTTAGCTAGTCATTCATCTTGGGTCCTCCTAGGGTTGTTGAAAGACAACATTACTGTATATTACACACAACACAACTAATGCATAGCACCAAAAGTTATAGTGAGACCATTTCTAGAAGAGGCTCTGCCATTTACAGGGATCCTCAGAACCTTCTGCAAATAGCCTAGTGATCATGCAGTGGAGAGGACATTGGCCTGGGAACTGGGCTGCCTTTTTCTAGTTTGAAGTTTTAACCCTGGTTTACATATCTTGTGAACTTGCATAGACATCACTCTACTTGCTGGGTCCTGATTTCTGCAGCTTTAAAATGGCCTGGTTGGATAACATGGTTGCTGAGCCTTTCCAGAAGTCAAAGATTCTGAAGCTGAGTCTAGCAGGAGTTGGCAAACTGGCCAACCCCAGGGCCAAATCTGGCCGCGCCCTTTCGTTTGCATGTTGCGTGTGAATAATTTCATGCTACAGTGTCAAGTGAGTAGTTGCAACAGAAATAGAAAATACTTGCCATCTGTCACTTTACTGTACAAAGAAAGTTTGCTGATCCTTTGCTAGAGCACTAGTGACTCATGACTTTGTCATACTCACCTTTGTTAGGTAACATGAGTGTAAAGGTTATTTTCTTAACAGCTGGCTGCAGAGTTCCTTTTGGGGAGAAAACTATCTATATTTAATACCTTGTAAAACTATTTGGGGTAGAAGTTTAATTGGAAGGATTGAACAAGTGCCAAGACAACCAAGGAGATAGCCAGGCCCTTTTGCAGGAGGCCATGACTTGCTCATGGGAAGAAAATTGTTATCATGTCTGGGTCAACATGGTTTGTTATAGGGAGACCAGAACAGGACAGTGAAATGACCCATGAGCCAGGCTAATTAAGTGGAATCAGGAACCTGAAGCTCGAGGTACCATGAAAAAGAAAAGCTCACTGGAATTCTTCAAATGCTTGGGGAGGGCTTTCTGCTCCCACAGTCCATGGATTGCAGATCGGAATTCATTTTAAGGGATTGCAAGGGCCCCAGTGAACACTAGTGGTTCCACTGGGTAAGTTTTTTCCTGCTAGGAGTCTATGTTTGCATCTATATTCTTTTCAATTCTGCTCCTAAATAAGTAGCTACTACTCAGCTAGCATTTGGGCAGGTTACTTTTCCCTGTCTGTCCCCAGTGAACAGATTTGACTTGGACAGTGTTGCTATTTTGGCAAGGCCTGGGAGATTCTAATCCTGTTCTCTCATGTTCTGGCCATCACTCCCATCGAGGAACTTAATGAGTTTGCTCTCTGCTCCTTTAAGCAGGTCACTGATGAAAACGTTAAATAGAAGCAAGCCTCAGAAATATGCATACCAATGTAATCTGGAGTCCAGGGACTTTTCCAGCCCAGTTGCATACTGAATTTGGTACCTTCACAACAGTTTGCATAAATGAATAATGCATAGAACAGGAACTGTATCTTATAACAGCTTATGAATGCCCATTAGTCTTTCTCATTATTAGTAATTGTTCTAAAGAGTAAGAATTATTTAAAAAAAAAATTCCACCCCATAAGACCCATGAGTCAGACATAAACTAAATGGGTTTAGCTTGACCACTGAGAAGCAGCTGTTATGGGATTAAGGAAAGGCCATAATCTCAAACCTAGAAATTGACTCTAAGTCAAGTTGGCATTTGGATGGTAAGGAGGGGTGGTTTAAGGAGAAAAGATGAATTTTCCTGGCTGTGTGTGTGTGTGTGTGTGTGTGTGTGTGGTGGGAGGTGAGGAATGGAAGAGTCTAAACAAGCTAGAATTGTTAACTGTCTTGGAAGGTGTTATCCAAAGTAGGATGTTTAAATAGCTCTGGTTATTTGATCTTGTCAAACTTTTGAGCTGAGAGAGCATATTTTGAGAAGGGAGGAGGCAAGTTCAGTCAGAATTCAGAGAGAGAGCCTCACACATTTGGAAAAAAGCCTTCCGAAACAGTTGCTGGCTTCCAGCTGCTCACATCGTCACTCAGGAGAATGTGTGTGCAGATGCCTTGTCAAGTTGGGGATAGAGCCTTCCTTCCCTGAGAAAATTAACTTTTCTGATATCATTTTTATGGGGTGGGATGGGCAGGACCACAGCATCTACTGTGTCTGGAGAGGTTTCCATGATTCTCCACATCACCTTTCCACCATTTCCTTGGTGATCATCGGTGCTGGAACTAATCACACACTTGCTGTCCTCATGGAGACATTGACTTTTTCAGGGTTCACTGACATCCTTTGTCATTTTATTATGTTTTCAGAAATGCCTAGAGCCTTCACCATTGAATAGGGATGGATCAGGGCTACATTAGGAGTTATGTACATCTTACTTATCAAAATGTATTGGAAAGGGGATATTTTAAAATTGAGGTGGAGGGCTGGCTTAAGAGTTAGCTTAAGAGTGTGAGCTCTGAGCAACAGGGCCACCGGTTCGATTCCCACATGGGCCAGTGACGCTGCACCCGAGCTGAGCTGCCCCTGAGCTGCCAACAGGTGGCAGGATGGCTCAGCTGGTGAGAGCACATGGTCCTAACAACAAGGTTGCCTGTTCCAGATGGTGGGCTACGTCTGTTCGCAACTAAGACTGAACTTGGCACTTTGAGCTGAGCTGCCGCCCGGATGGCTCAGTGGATAGGGCACGTGCTCTTAACAAGGCTGCTGGTTTGAGTCCCACATGGGATGGTGGCTATGCACACCTGCAACTAAGATTGTAACACAGCACCTTGTGCTAAGAGGCCATGAGCTGCCGCCGGGCAGCCAGATGGCGACCGCCTTCCACAACTAAGATTGAAGAACAACAACTTGGCTGGTTCCCTTCCCCAATTCCCCAACAATGTTCCCCTCCCCCAATTCCCCAATTAAAATAATAAGTAAGTAAGTAAATAAATAAATAAATGCAATGGAAAAAAGTTTCAATCAAACCAGTAAAAACAAAAATAAAAATACAAATAAAATGGAGGTGGAACTGAACATTTTAAAATGTCCAGAGAAAAAGAATTTATTTTTATGCTTTACATAAACTTTGAGTCACACAATTAAAGACATACAAGCTAAAGTGACTCTAGTTTGCTTTTTCTAAATTTGTTGTTCTTATTGTATGTTTATTTTTCCTTTGGGGGAGACAGAAGAAACTCAGTGTCTTGAGAATAGCTTTTATCATATAAGATTTAGGTATGCCAGAATTAGCCATGAATTGGATATACTGTTTAGGCGGAACTGACTGTCTGCAAACGTGTGGGGAAAAGTTAATGTTAGGCTGCGCCTATCTTATCTTTGGCTACTTTTTTCAAGAGTCATTTTCAGGCTTCTAGGTCTTTCATACCCATGCTAGCCAGGCCTCCCTGTGCCACTGCCTAGTGACACCTCTTTGCCCTGGGTCCCATTACTGCAGAGACCTAGGTTACATTGGGCTGATGACCAATGGGCATGTTAAACTTGTGCTCTTGGGAGGATGCTGAGCTCAGACCTACCTCAGTCCCGTCTCAGGTGGCCTAGACTCATTAGGCTCCTTCAACCTTGACCTCTAAGGCCACAACTGTAAATGTTCCATAAAACAGAGTCCACCTTATTGCAATTCAGTGCGCTCTGCTTTTTCCATAGGATCTCAAGCCTTTTGGTTCAATTACCATCCCAGTTCCAATCACCTATATCCTAGGCTTGACCAAAATTGGGGCTCTATTTGCTTTGCCATTGCCTCCCACACTTAGGTAAAGTATCAAACCAAACTGATGCTTCACTCATTGTTCATAGGTTTCTAGCCCCAATGACTCTTCAAGCTCCATGATAACAGAAATCTAAAGCAGTCATCTCCATACTTTTTTTGATTAATCACTACACTGGTTTAAAAAAAAAATTAGCAGGTACCTGCAATGCATATTCAGAGAGTGCCAAAAAAAATGTATACACACTTTAAGAAAGGAAAACTGTATTAAAATTGTTATACTCAATATATACTGATAACAA